ATCTCAGAGCTCACCATGTCAGTGTCAGCCATGTGATCTCATGGCTCACCATGTCAGCCGTGATCTCAGAGCTCACCATGCTAGAAGAGTTGGTTGTGGAGTGAGGTCAGTCAGTCCACTCAGGCCCTTGCACTATTCACATCTTTGTAGAGTCCTGAAGCTACAAGTGGGTCACTGGGGTCTTTTCATTATGATTTAAGAGTGGAGATTTTCTTTCTCATTGACTGTCACCTCAGTGGTTATATTTCATGGCTTTTGGTGCATGGTAAACTACTCCACAAGTGAGTGACTTAAAGCCTTGATTGTTGAGTTGGTAGTTCTGTGGGTTGGCAGTTTGGGCTGAATTCAGCTGGATGTCCTTTGTTCTCTCTGTAGGCAGCAGTGAAGCTAAAGGAGGGTCGTGTGCTGCCCTCCCGCTCTCCTGGTTTGGGCCCCTTAAAGGCCAGTGTTGTGTCTCTCTGGAAGATAACTTATCATAGGAAACCACACTCCTCCATCCAGTACTGACAAGGCCAGTGCTGGAAGGTAACTTACCACATGGATGTCTGTCCCTCCATCTAGATCAAGTCTACACGTCTGAATATTCTATGATGTCATTGCCCTCTGTAGTGCCACATGGGTTCTGGGGATTGGGCATAAATGGAAATATGACAAGGTGTGCTACTAGGGAGATTGGGATGCAGTATGCAACGTGGGCTGCCTTGTAGCTCCATCTCTCCTCTATAGAAACCTCGGGCAGAGAGACAGCAGGCTTCCTGCCCTTCTCAGCAGAGTGGCACTTTCTCCTGGCTAAGCAGCATTAGCATAGCGTAGGCCTGGTGTTTAAGACTCACAGACAGTAAAGGACTTGGGTTTCTTGGGGAAGTTAACTAGATTTTGGAAGAAAGGCCGCATCGGTTTACATACATACCTTCTTAAGCTCCGTCCAAAGTTCATTTAAAGAACAACAGACGTACTGAATGCACAGTAAGGTTTAAAAGCTGTCATTGTAAATGATGGTGTTTGAAAGCTGAGATCTGCTGCTTTTGTCCATTTGTGTTGTATTTTATGGTTCTTGCACAAGTGCATGCTCACACAGGAGTATGTACATGAAGTCCTCCCCTCCCTCCCCCTCTCTGTCTCCCACCATTACTTCCAAAGCTTCCCCTTGGGGAACTCTAGACCCGACTTTGCTTCTGGTCCCCTCGTCACAGGCTGAAGGGCCAGCAGGGCTATAGCTGTCCACGCTCACTTTCGGAAGAACACATCACAACTGTTGCGGGGGGTTGTTGAGTCTTTGGAAAAATGATAGCTGCTTACAAAGATGCTGTTTTCTCGTAAACTGGCTTTACTTTGGCAACTGTTTCTGGCCTCGGAGCTTAAGATTTAAATCGAATGCCAGGAAAACCGGATCATCAGAAGTGGCTTCTCCAGCTGCGGTAGTGGTTTGCTGTTAACTACTTGTTTCTCTAACCTTGTGCTGGAACTAACCTGGCTTGCTGGAAACACCTCCTGGACACTTTCAGCACCAGAGCTGCTAATCTGATTTATAGAAAGGTTCTCTGGGTCCTGCTGCCCCTGGGGAGTTTACCCTGGTGCTGAACTTTGAGAGTAATGTGTGTCTGCACCTGTGTGAGCACCTGCATGTACTTTCAATGCCCTGTGAACCAGAGACTCCAGTTCCCCTCAGGCTGTGTGAGGTACTCTGCTGTACTCCTGTGCTGTGTGGAAGAGAATGAAGCTCTTAAGCTTGCTGAGGCTTCCATGAGCCTTGCCAAGTATTTGATTGGCAGCAAAGGACTATGATGGGCAGAGTAACAATCAAGCTTAGTTAACGCATAGCTTTCCTGTTACCTCAGTATTACCTAGGTTTAGCATAACTGCTCTATATTAATCATTCTAGACTTTTGATAGAAAAAAAGTACTTTTCCATGGCGTAAAGAGACCATGACTTCTAAGAATTCTAATGTTTGAGTGGTCTGAGAACTGCTGCGCTTAAAATTTCACATGATGCTGGAAGGCAGGGACCTTTGTCATCACCGTCATTACACAGGTGATCAAATCCATTGAAGAGTCTACGTGTGTGTGCGCGTGTAAGCTTGCATGGATGTCTATGTGTGTGTCCACGCATGTGTAGTGTGTGCTTGTACACATATGTGTGCATGTGTATTCATGTGTGTGTACATGCCTGTGTGTGTTCACACGTGTGGTGTGTGCTTGTACACATATAAGTACGTGTGTGTGTGTGTGTGTGTGTGTGTGTGTGTGTGTGTGTCTGAACCCAGGGCCTTGTCCATGTTAGGCAAGTGTTTAAACACAGCTACAGCTCAAACTCCCATTATACATTTTTAGTAGACAGTAAATAGGAAAATTGCAGTTTTAAATTTGTTTCAAAATTTTAAAATATAATTTTTAAAATTTATTTTATTTGTTCTATACATTTGTTTCTGAGGCAAGATCTTAATGTGAAGCCCAGGTTAACCTGGAATTTGCTGTGTAGCCAAGGCCAGCCTCAAATTCCTGCTTTTGCTTCCTTAGTGCTAGGAATTGATATATACCACTATGGGCCAACTTTGGATCAGATTTTGGGGACCTTTCTGGAAGAAGACCATATAAGCAGACAAAGGAATGAAGTTGAAGTGTACCAGTAAATTATTATCAGCTTACTTCATGTTAAATATTTGATTAAAAATGTTTAAAACTTACCATGATCCAAATTAAAATAAAAAAGCTTTTGTCATTTTAGTTTGATGAATTAATTTGAGCTAATAGAAGTTGATTCCCATTTTGTAACTGTCATTGTCCTGGCCAACATTAAGTTGACACATAAAGACCTAACAGTCACACACCTCCAGTTACAGAACTGTAACGCAACTGTTGAAGACACAGCGGGGTGGGAGAATGGTCTTTCTAGACAGAGGTACACATCGCACTCAGCCGTGCGCGGTGGCCTGTGTTGGAGCAGAGATGTAAAAATCACTCTAGAGCCTCAGAGCTTCTCAACCTGTGGTTCTTGACCCCTTTGGAGGGGTCAAAGCAACCCTTTCCCAGGGGCCAAAGACCATCAGGAACATTGCATTGTGATTCTTAGCAGAAAAATTACAGTTATGAAGTAGCCATTAAAATGATGTTACCGTCCAGGCACTGCATTAAAGCGTCGCTGTGTTAAACTGTATTAGGGGGGTTGAGAACTGCGGTGTAGACAAAGGTGCACGCGGCACAGCTGTGGACTGTGGCTGTGGTAGAGGGGAGGTGTCTCCGCAGGCTGGCATGGAGATGCTGCAGGGGAGCTGAAGGGAGGGTGGGGATGGTGGAGGGAGGAGTCAGCTCTGTGGGGTTCAGAGGGGAGAGTGCTTCAGCTGCACAGTCTGCAGCTAGCTCATTGGTCAGTGCACCAGGGCAAGGACACCCTCTGGGGAGGTCAGACATGACTAAGGTCGCCTGCTGCTGCCACACAGGTGGCTGCTGCTGTTGGAATGGAGTTTCCTGTCTTTAGCCTTTGACTCAGCCTGACTTGTGAGTCCCTCGTGGAGACAGGGCCCTCCCCTGCTGAGGATGTGCGTGGGGCTGGTGGCGGTTACACCGCTGTCAGTCAGGGCTGCCCCTCCCAGGTCAGCTTGCCTTTCGCATATCCGTCTCATTTCAACCTTCCCCACTATTGCTGTCCCAATGTGTTCATCTGGCCAATCAGCATCCTCTTACAACACCACCACTGAGCGTCCTCGTTCCCATTTGACTTGATCCATCGCTGACTTCTTCACCTGTCGTTAAGTTGGCCATGTTATCCTTGTTTTGCAGAAACCGAAGCCAAAAGATTGGCACCCTCCTGGTGGCTTCATTCTGGGATTGTGGTCTCTCATCGTCATGGTCTTCTTTAAGACCTACGGCATCAAGCATATGAAGTTCATCTTTTAGGCCCAAGGATGTCGGAAGCAGAGCAGATGGAAGATTGCAGCCTTGGATGAAAGCATAGGTTTTTATATATTTTTAAATGGGTTCATTTTGTGTAAATTTGGGAAGAAATTAGGAAAAACTAATTTTAATGAACTTTTGACTTTATCATTTAAAATATTGTTAATGCACTTATTTTATTGCCCATTAAATGTGTTTTTCATTGTTTGTGCGTGTGTGTTATAGAAACTGTGGGACAATGACATTGGAACATAATAATTGATTTTTTTATCCTCTTTTCATTGTAAAAGTAAGAATTGTGGAAGTGTTAATTACCACTAAAGAGGTAACTTCTGTTAATAACTCTCTGTGCGTTCTCTTGGTCCTTTTATTTATGTACATATTTCCCCAAAGCCCAGCTCATACAGAATATATCAATTCATAATCTCTTTGTTTTTACCACATATTATTAACCTTTCCCCTTCTTGGATGTTCTTCAAGAATACTTTGTGAACCAGACATGGAGATACTTAGCTATTGTACGAACTGCTCAGGAGGCTGAGCTGCGAAGATCATTTGAACCCTCAGGATTGAAGGTCAGCCTGGACAACAAACAAAAGGAAACACAAAAACACACATGTTCTGTGGGCACGTAGTATTCATTTGATGACCTACAGTTGGGCCCTTACCTTGTTTCAAGTTTTCCTTCGGTCCCTTCTGGAGTGTATTACTGACCTTTAGCCATTCCCAGGATTCTGCAGATTGAATTGCAAGTGAAAATGAAAACAAAGACTTTGGTAGCTGTCCATCTAGGAAATTTGTGCCTTTGAGAATTTCTTTTGTTAAGTGCGCAGAGAAACATGCCCTATTATTTTTCATTTTTAAGCGTTCTGTGAGCTTCTAGAATTGTTGGTATCCTCTTCAGTTTTTGTCCAGAAAAAGACAGATTGCCAGCTCTCTGGATCTATGCTCTCCCTGAGGTCAGTCCAGTAACCTGGATGACATGCATGGAGAGCGCACTCTCACTACGGCCCTGGTCCCATGGGGCACTCACTGAGCATCCCTTTGTCCTCCATAAGGTGTAGGAGTTCATGCCCCACACTGACTCTTCTGGAATGTTGGTCATCTCTACATTTTTCTATGACGGAAGGAGGGCTAAACTTGTGTTTTGTGGTCAATCTCAGACACTCTTTTCCCTTTGAAACCTTGGCACCTGAGGGTGGCGCTGGGATGGGGGTGTGCCCGTGGGTTTAGTGTTAATGCCTGAGCAGATACTTAATCTTTTATCCAGGAACTGGCAGGCACCTGTTTTCTGTAGGAACGTTGTTTTATTGTTGATCTTGATTGTCAGTAACAATTAAGAAAACTCTTCTGCAGTAAAGCCTTTAGAACAGTGGTTCTCAACCTGTGTGTCACGACTCCTGGGGTAGCAAACGACCCTTTCATAGGGGTCACCTAAGACTATCAGAAAACACAGATATTTGCATCCATATTCCTAACAGTAGTAAAATCACAGCAATGAAAAAAATTTTATGTTTGGGGTCACGACATCATTAGGAAAGTTGAGAACCACTGCTCCAGACTTAATAATCCGTGGAATCTCTTTACCTTTCAGCGCTTAAAATACTGTGTTGTGCTTATGAGCAAAATCCTTACTTTGACAGCAAAAGATGACTGTACAGTAATACTGAGGTTTCTTTAGCTCTGGGTCTTTATTTTAATTGACATTTTTATTGGTGTGCTATGTAAGAGGAAAAGGAAAGAGAGCCAGTATGACCCCGCCTCCGCCCAGACCACACCCAAGTGTCAGGTGGAGTAAGAGGAACGAACATAGGTGAGGGTTGCTCTCGTGCCAAAGTCTGAATGTAATAAAACATGCCCCGATGTGAAGACCACGGAAACAGGATCACCCTCAGAGGTTGGGGAAGGGGCCTTTCTTGAACCAGGCTGAGAGCAGCCCAGGGTTAATTTTACCTGGGCAGACTTTTAGAAGGTAAGACAATTTTTGTTGTTTTGTTTTATTGTTTTCTCTTTCACTTCTTGAATTTTCAGAAAACAGTTGGTAGGTATAATCTTACATGAGACTGTTCTGCCTTCAGTAAGTAAATTGTGTGTGAGAGTATATACAGGAAATAATACATATCCTGAAATATCTTCTCAGGGTCCCAAGCCTGAATGAAAGAATTTGCCTTTCTCGGTGTGGTAAGGACAGGTGAGATCATGGCGTAACTGAAGATTTCAGAAGTTGTAAATATGCCATGCTGTTTTTCATTTCTTCTTAGGGACCTGTAGCGGGCACGGGGGGGGGGGGGGGGTGACGAGGTTCTTCCTCGGCCGCACTTCCGAACCTTTTTAGCTACTCCATGATATTCCTGTTTTTGTTGGTGTTTTTCCCTCCTCCCCCATGGTGCCTGTGAGGGAGAAAAGGAACTAGAGGAATGGACCCCCATGGGCATGTCCTGACATTTCAGAGAGTGCCGGGCATAGTGGTGCCGCTCCTGGGAGGCAGCCTGTGTGATGAGAGACTGGCTCTAACGTGGGCTCAACTCACAACACATTTATTTGCAGCTTATGAAAGGAAAATATAGTTTGGATGCAAAGATGATAAAAATTGCATCAAAAATTAGAAGTAAACACAAAAATAATGCATGCATTTATGGCTTCAGTTTTTATATATTCTCTGCTACTTGAAAGTGATGAGCCCCACGGCAGGCATAACTCAGCCCCTCCCTGCTACCCCGCGATTCTCCGTCCTGGTGTGTGTGGCTAACACTGCTTCCATTATGTATGTTGTGTAGCCGAGTTACAGGCACTGTGGGAGTCATCATTCGAAATCTTGATGCATGGGTTTCTGGAATCTTTACAGCAAATGTTGAATTAACATATTATCCTTTTCAGTTTCTTTTTACCAAAATTGAGCCTGCCTGTAGTAGATGCTGTTTTAACTTGTGAAAGAAATATTTTGTAAATGTACTTCACGATATCGCTGTAGAACAGTGAGATCAGCATCCGTGTCTGCTTTATGGCAGCAGCTCATTGCTTCTCTAACCTGCTCCAGACCCCAGGGTCTCGGCTGCTGTGTCGCCCGCACACCGACCCCTCCCACAGAAACTTTTCTGTTCTGGACAGCACACCTGGGGTAACCCGGCTCCCCCTCCCCTTTCTTCTGGTGCAAAAACAACGTTCACCGTCTTGGAAATACACTCTAAGCATGTGGCTCTAATTGCGGGCGTTATATTTGTCACTGTACTGTGCTCCAGCTGCCGCCCCCAAAGTCTCCTTGTGGCTCCTGTCCTCTTTCATGTCACATACATGTGTACATGTGTCTGAAAGGTTTCAGGGTTTGGATTCAAGGGTGACACTGAGACAGACTGGCGTGTGTGTGTGTGTGTGTGTGTGTGTGTGTGTGTGTGTGTGTTCTGTGTGTTTATATGTATATTTATGTATTAGAAGTGTATACTTACATATGTTTATATTTTAGAGGAGGTAATTGCCACAGACAGGTAGGCAGCATTTCGTGTTCCAAGGAGAATTCAGACCCACATGGCAGGGACAAAGTCCCTTCTTACACATTTTAGAGGAAGGGGGAGGGGAGCCAGACTGAACAGTTTGTCGTTTGGGCCCCCACAATCAGTTACGATGTTAGGATGTGGAGAGGCATCTTGGCTGGTCGGTCATTACTGGGGCTGGTGGGAAGGGAAGGCAAGTGGCTAGAGAAACAGGTTGCTCTGCTTCCAGAGACCAAATTATCTTGGATTTTGTAATCATCATTCATCCAAAATAGGGAAGCTTTACAAAAATGTGACCTTTGCTAACGTGAAGGCGCTGTGTATGTACAGCTGAGTCTAATCCTGCACGTAAGAAAGCATGCAGCACTTCCTCTGTGCCCCGGGCCTGCTCTTTTCTCCACCCCCTTAGACTCCTCTCCCTCATAACCCTCTGGTTTACTGTTTGTATGTGTTTAGTGTGGAGTTTACACACAGAGGAGATGTAGTATTTGACATTCTGAGTGGCATATTTCACTTAACACCCACGTGCCGAATTCCATCCATTTCCCTGTGGACAGCGTAGTTTGGTTCTTAAAGCTAGCATCAAATCCACTATGCACCCATCGTGCAGCACGTTTTCTTTGTCCAGTCACTGGCCCCCTATCTTAGCTATCATGGATAGGTCTGCAGTGAGTATGAATGCAGTTTTTTCTCATACACAGAGATTGAACAAGATTAGCAGCACTCACTTTAATGAAGCCGTGGGTAGTGTGTTTTATAGGTTGTTCAACTTTGCAGCATTGTTTCTGACTTCTGTTCCGACCTTTTAAGACTGCATACTACTCTCATTTTTCTTTGCTTTCTGTTTACTATGTGCGATATTTGCAGATCTTTGACAACAGTCTCATCAAGAGGTAGAGTCAACAATTCAGTTTCCTCCTCCCTGGATCTGGGCTGGATAGACACTTACTCAGTAGACTAGTACTGCCACAGTTTAGAGTGAGGCCATAAAAGGTGACAGTACATATACCCTGCTTGTCTCTCAGGACTCCAGACCCACCCAGCCACCATCCCGAGGAAATGGAGCCTGTGAAGAAGCTGTGTGTTTGTGTTCTGGACCTCCAGACCAGGTCCTAGCCTTATCCTAACTTCACCTCCAGGGGTCCAAGGAGCAGGTTCCCGAGTGACACCACCTCATTTTTGCCCAGACCACGAGAGAATCACAGTGAGAGAAATATTGTCACCTTAGGGCAGTTGCTAAGCAATAGTGGCTGGGCCCGTCTTCGTGTGCTGACCATGGAGAGTCTCTTCTCTGTTGAGAACACCTCACCGAACCTTGTCAGGAGAGCCCACTGCTGCAGGACACGCTTGCGTTCTTGTTCCCTGTCTTTCTTCCACTGCACCCTGTGTGTGTCCTGCAAATGAGTGTTTTCTGCAGTGGGCAGTGGGCAGTGGCAGACACACAGGACACCTTCCAGTGGGTGACTGTGGTACAGAGCGTGTCTCTGTACGTGACTTCCTTCATTGGGTAAGCTGACCTGCATAGCTCCACAGTGAAGTGTGTGGTGACCACATTCCTGCACACAGGACATCCTATGACATGGGCCCTTTCAGGAGATGGCTTTCCCTAGCGCCCCAGGACTTGCTTCCCAGCAAGCCCTTGGCAGGAAGCCACAGTGGCCTCTTCTGCCGTCCATCCTGCCATGCCATGGCCTGCCCTCGACTCTAAAGGAGGTGGTCTCTGACTTGGGCAGCCTGTCTCAGTCTTAGAGTTCAGGGCTGCTCTTGATGTCTGCTTTTCCTCTGAGCCCTTGACTTTTAATATCTTACTCCTGAGTTCTTTGTTCAGACCAGAAACCCGAAGTATGAAGTGGTAAGAT